TTCTGAAGGCTCATGTGTAGGGGTCGAAGCTGAAGATGCAATAAATCACAATCCACTGCACTGAAGTTGTTAAACACCTCAATATTATCTATTTATGATTTATGAAAACCCGGACTAAATCACGGAATCCAGGCATACAAGTGGAATGTACTGTATGACGCGGAATGTCACGGAATTTGTCAAAGTTTGGATGAATTAATGTAATGTAAAGTAGGTCAGCACACTTAAATCAAACCACGATACGGACTCGTATCTGTAAATACTAAGCCGCAAAAATACTATTTAAATATGAATCCTGCATGTTCTGCACGTCTCTGTGTATGTGAGTGGCACACACGCGCTGTGTTGCCAACTGAGTTTCACAGAAAGTTGCTAAAGGAAGGTCGATTTGTTGCTAAATCGTCATTGTTGACGTCATTGCGTAACCACAACGCAAAATTATGTCACAACATCAAATCTCAACAAAAAATATATTTTATATACGCTAATTTTAGGGAAGCACGATATTATCGGACTGATATCGGAATCGGCCGATAATGGCTTTACATGTAAATATCGGCATCGGCCGACATAAAAATTATAAAATTATTATTATTTACATAAAAATTATGCCAGAAGCTATAGCTTACATGAAAAACAAAACAAACACAAACATGACACTTGTAAATTAAATAATTTTATATATACCGATTTATTCATTAATGTGTAATATGTTTTATTTTTTAAACAAATCATAAGCTCTAAATGATTTTCAGAATTTTTACAACTCTTTTGCTTTAGACCATCTACAAATGTTAAATCTTAAAATAAAATGTTAGGGTTAACGCTGCATCTTTCTGGGGGGAAAATGCAGCGGTTGATATATAGTTATTTTCAAAGCTTCAATGTATTGTCAACAAACCTTCATTATTGTTTATTTAATTCTAACAAATAAGTTCTTGTTAAAAATTAACCAAAATTAAAAATATTTTGCTTATAATCTCTGCAGAGGAGAGACTTGGTGTTGTTTCCAAACAAAACGAAATATATCGGTATCGGCCAAAATGAGT